CAGGGCCTGCCCACCCTCCCAGGGAGAAATTCCTTCCCAGTATCTGGTGTGACTCTCCCCTCGTTGGGTTTAAAAGCAGCGGATACTGAACATTGAGTCAGAGCTCACGTGACTGAGCTGCTCTTTGCTTTGTGGCTTTCTCAGCACACACTTGGGTGAGGATTTGACAAATAGTTACAGGAAAAAAAAAAGTCTGCTTGTTTCTGTTGAGGTTTGTGTAGCACTTGAGCCCCCACTTACTTCCTCTCCTTCTCTCACATGCATCCACACCTTTTTTTGAAGCAACTGTTGAAAAAGGGAGTTTCCGCAGCGAGTTGTGACTGTGTAGAAAGTTTGGCAACTTGACAGCTTGATACTTGTGCTGCCCCAGCTCTGGGATCACAGCTGTGTTCCTTCAGTTTTATTCTCTGAAATTATTTCCTTCTTAGCTCTCGCTGATCTTGCTTATCTTTGCACTCAGTGCTGCCTGTGCTGCCCTAGGAGAGCACAGCTCTCCTGGGGGTTCCTGTGTGCAGTCCCTCCTGTGTCACCTATTGCCAGGCAAATCTGAGCTGTAAGATCTGGAATTTCATCTTTGTTTTTTTTTAATGTGTGTCTCCAAACTGAGTGAATGTTGTGAAGCTTCTGGTTTTCCCCTCAGACATGGACGTAGCTCATTCCCTTTGTGAGTCCCGTGCCACACTTCCTTCCAGAGCTGTCCTGAGATCTCCCGTCCCACACTGGTGCAGCTGAAGGATTTGGGAGCGAGTCATTGTGTTCCCTGAAGCTCAGGAGTGTCTCTGGTCTCTTCCAGTGACCCGACACAACCACCTGAAGGATTTCATGCTGGTGGTGTCCATCGTCATCGGGGTGGGCGGCTGCTGGTTCGCCTACATCCAGAACCGCTACTCCAAGGAGCACATGAAGAAGATGATGAAGGACCTGGAGGGTCTCCACAGAGCTGAGCAGTCTCTCCACGACCTTCAGGAGCGGTAGGTTCCGTGTGTCCACCCAGCTGGAGCCCTCAGCTGTCACTTCTTTCTGCAAGGTCCTTATTCCTTTGGATTTCGGCAAATACTGTTTTTAGCTGTTGTGGTGCCTCATGCCAGAATCAGTCCATTCCTGAGGGACCTGGAAAACCTGCCAGCAGCCTCCAGAGCTAGGATGGCTGTTGGGTTCCTGCAGGGAGTCACTTCCTAGGCTGTGTGTAAAGGTGTGTGCGTGCTCACCTGGCCTGTTCCACCACAGAGTCAGAGAATCATGGAATGGTTTGGGTTGGGAGGGACCTTAAAACTCCTCCAGTCCATGGGCAGGGACACCTTCCACCAGCCCAGGTTGCTCCAAGCCCCGTCCAGCCTGGCCTGGGACACTTCCAGGGATCCAGGAGCAGCCACAGCTTCTCTGCCCAACCTGTGCCAGGGCCTGCCCACCCTCCCAGCCAGCAATTCCTTCCCAATATCCCATCTAATCCTGCCCTCTGGTGGTTCCCCCTTGTCCTGTCCCTCCATCCCTTGTCCCAGTCCCTCTCCAGCTCTCCTGGAGCCCCTTTAGGCCCTGGAAGGGGCTCTCAGGTCTCCCTGGCTGGAGGCAGCTCTGCTGGTGGGGTCTCACCTGAGCATGGCAAAGGGGCAGAATCCCCCCAGCTTCTCCCACCTGAGTGAGCAGGAGGGACCTGCAGGGGCTCCTCTCCTGACCCCATCCCTCTTTGGTTTGAGCCATCTTAGCAGAGAGTGACAGTCTGGGGCTGGAGCTGTTTGCCATGAGGTTTGAGTGTAGTTTTGGAGGATAAACCTCGATTTGACTGCCAGGTGAGGTGATGGTCACGTTCCCAGTGGAACACGGAGCCCGATCCCAGGTACCCACCTTGGCCAGTCATGGGGAGTGCAGTGAGTGACCTGTGCAAGCCTCAGGATGCCGAGGATGTCCGGCTGGAGTCCTGCAAACAGCCCAGTGTTTGGAATCTGCTCGATGTACCCCCAGACTGCAGCAGGATTCCTTCCCTGTGAGCTCATGACATCCTCAGGAGTCATCCCACCCGTGAGTGCTGCTGGAAAGGCTCCTCTCCCTCCAGTGTGATGGCACCAGTGTGTCTGTGAGGAGATCAAACCCCTGAGAGCACCCAGGGGATGGTGCCACGCTGGGGTGGTGCCGCCCCTGGGCGTGACCTGATTTTCGGCCTGGAGGCAAAGTGCATTTCCCCTCTGCTGGCTCCAACCCACAGCTGGTTCCACACAGCTTCCCGGAGTCATAGGTTGGAAATACTCGCAAAGAAAGATTGGTTTGTTTGTTCTCCATCCAGAGGGACACAGGGATCCCTTCTGCACGTCCAGCAGCAGCAGCAGCAGCATCGTGTCCAGGCCAGGGAGCCTCGTGGTGTCACCTCAGAGCTCCAAACACCACCGAGCTGCTGGGAATGTGCCCGTGGGATCGACCTTGGGACCTCCTGCCAAGGGCAGAGCCTCATAAACAAGTGTATGTTCCTGGGAAATTCTGAACTTCCGATAGGAAGAAACACAAACCCACTTGTGCTCGGCTTGGCTCGAGCCTGAAGCCTGAACCCAGAGCAGCTGGGAGGGCTCATCCTCCACCGACGGCACCGAGCTGCACCTCAAGGGATGGGAGGCAAACTGGGGACCTGCTGAGGCCCCTTGAGGGGAAATACTTCAAATACTCCTTCAGTTCCTCATTCCTTGGCCCCAGCAAGGCTCAGCTGTGGTCTTCAGCCACTGTAGAAACATCAAACTCTGGACAGCACCAGTTCTGCTGGACTTGTGGAGGAGTTGTGCTGAAGTTCTGCTCAGAAGCTCCTTTTCCAGAGCCTGAAGCCCCTCTTTTCCTGGCTGAGTGAAGCTCAGTGCTGAGCAGACCTTGGGAAGGCACTGGATGCCTCTCCAGTGCCTGGTGCTGTGATTTGCTGAACAGCTCAGGAATGGTCTTGAGGAGCTGGGAATGCTGATACAAAAGCCCTTTATTTATTCATCTTCCAAATACCTTTGAGAACGTCATCCTTCAGCAGTGACACTTCCCAGTCCATTAAATGACTCACCAAGTTCATGTCTTGGCACATGCTACTGATGCCTGAATGTGTGGGAAGGTCTGTACTGAAGATGTATGGATTGTGTATAAAATCAGCACCTGGATTGTGAGCCCCCAAGGGACCCAGAGAGGCTGTGGCTGCCCCTGGATCCCTGGAAGTGTCCCAGGCCAGGTTGGACGGGGCTTGGAGCACCCTGGGCTGGTGGAAGGTGTCCCTGCCCTTGGCAGGGGGTGGCACTGGATGATCTTGGAGGTCCCTCCCGACCCAACCCAGCCTGTGATTCCATGACTGAGGGACAAATGACAAGTGTCATCATGGGAGGCTGCTCTTGGCCACCCAGCCAGGGTGGCAGCTCCAAGGAATTACTGTTTAGGGATCTGGGGGACACGTCCGACCCAATCACTCTGTCCTTGGGGGAGTTCAGTTTGCTGGGTGTTATCTGGGAACACCACACAGCTGGGATAGGCCCAGGAGATTCCTGAAATACCTGGACAACAACTTCTGGGCGCAGGGACTCAGGGAGCTGCCCTGGAGATGGACCAGGCACAGATGAGCACAGTTAGAACATCAGCCCCTTTTATTAACGATTCAATAGAGTCCTAAAAAGCACCAGGGTTGGGAGAGACCTGCAAGGTCATGCAGTCCAACAGTTCATGGCAGAGCCGCCCTGTGTGGCTCCCTGGGGACACCCCACAGGCTCTGGGGTGTCTGGAGCAGGGACTAATCCTGATCCCAATCCTGCAGCTGTGCTGAGTCCAGGGCCAGCGGAACAGAGCCTGGAGTGCCCCCCTGACGCGGGAGGGACAATTCCTGGGACAGTCTGCTGCCCACTGAGGGCCTGGGCCTCCAGCTGGGGAGGGCAGATCTGCCCCTCCTCATCTTGGTTAAAGTTCCACTTTTGGAAAACGCTGAAAACTCAACTCAGTTTGAGGCTTATCAAAGGAAATCCGGATGTGCAAGAAAACGCATCCTGAGTATTTAACAAACGAGCAAAGTTGAGCAGCTGGCAGTTTAATTTCTTCCCAAGCTCTTTGTCCTTGCCTCTCCCGGTGTGTGCTGGCACGGGCAGGGCTGGGTGGGGGGCACCCCCTGCCCCGTGGCTGCAGAGCCCAGCCCAGCCCCGCTCCCTGTGCGTTCCAGGCTGCAGAAGGCGCAGGAGGAGCACCGCTCCGTGGAGGTGGAGAAGGTGCACCTGGAGAAGAAGCTGCAGGACGAGATCAGCATCGCCAAGCAGGAGGCTCACCGGCTGCGGGAGCTGCGGGAGGGCACCGAGAACGAGCTGAGCCGGCAGAAATACGCCGAGCAGGAGCTGGAGCAGGTGAGGGGACACGGGTGGGATGTGCTCCCTCAGGAGATGTGTCAGCGGGGGCTCCATCCCTGGGGGAGATCGTGGCAGCACAGAGCGTTTGGGTTGGCACCTCGTGGCGTCCCAGCAGCAGGAGAGAGGTTGGCTCGCCCTGGAGCTGCACCCTCTGGGAATTCTGCCTCCCTCTCCAAACCATAAGGTCTTTCTCTTTTTTGGATCCGTGGGTTTAGGAGGGATTTAGAAAGAGTTTGGTTGTGCTTTCTGTGTTTTCTTGTGCATCAGGGAAGTGTATGAAGTTTGGGTTGGGAGAGCCCTTGGAGACCATGGAGTCCAACCATCCCCCAGCCCTGCCAAGGCCCCCACTGACCGTGTCCCCAAGTGCCACTGGACATGGCTGTTAAATCCCCTCAGGGATGGGGATTCTGCCACCTCCCTGGACAGCCCTTTCCATGGAGAAATTTTCCCAATATCCAGCCTGAACCTCTCCAAACCTACAAGCAAGTCCAAACCCACAACTGCAGTAGCTGTTTCCTGTCTCACCTGAGGGACGATTCCTGCCTGACTTTGAGCTGTAGATCAGTTCAAAGTGAAACTGTGTGAGCCAGGACTTCGTGAGCCAAGTGAATCCGTTGGCTATTCCGAGGCCACTGGCATATCCTCCTGACTGTGCCCAGGCTTTTTTCCCCACTGTGGAGGATGGGGAAGAAAGCGAGGCAGGAATCCAGGGTTTCCAGTGGCAGGGGAGGACCGAGTGTCCCGGGAGCCGTGGGGCAGCACAGCCAGCTGTGCCAACAGCAAAGTCCCTTCCTGCTTGGAGCAGCGACAGCCCAGAGACCTGAAGGTGCCTGTTTCCAGCCTTGCTCTCCTAATCAACATCCTTTCTCCCTCCTGAGTGGCTGTCCAGCCTCTCCACGAGGTCGCTGAACTCATTTTCAGGGCAGGCACTGGGATGTCCATCCTGACAGGAATGGGAACTGGGTCGTCCCTGTGTTTTGGGCCATCAGACGGGGCTGGGTGGGCTCAGGTGCCCCCAGCCCTTGTTCCCCGCTGTGGAGAGCCCAGGTCCCTGTGCAGCTCCCCTCAGTCCCAGCTGGCAGGAGCTGACGTGCTGCTCTGTTGTTCCAGAGTCCGTCGGGAGGGCCGCGGGGTGAGTACGGACTGTCCCACCTGACCCACCGTGTGATGTAACCCCAGCACTGTCCCAGCAGCCCCAGGGCACACATGGCATTAACCAGCCACCCCCACTGACCCCACAGCTCCTCCCAGGTCACCACGGTCCCTGATCCCAGGGAATGTTGGCCAAGACCTTCCACCGCACCAGATGGTTCTTGTCCCTGAGGTGACACATCCCATACACCCTGCTGGAGTCGTTCCTGGGATGTTCATCCAGCCCTCTCTTTTGGGTCACCCTCCCACAGACCATGACCCCAGTGGGGCTGCAAACCCAGAGGACATGGAATAGGATCTCAGAGTGGTTTGGGTTGGGAGGGACCTCAAAGCCCATCCAGTTCCACCCCTGCCATGGGCAGGGACACCTTCCACCAGCCCAGGGTGCTCCAAGCCTGTCCAACCTGGCCTTGGACATTTCCAGGGATCCAGGGGCAGCCACAGCTTCTCTGCCCAACCTGTGCCAGGGCCTGCCCACCCTCCCAGCCAGCAATTCCTTCCCAATCTCCCATCTCTCCCTGCCCTCTGGCAGTGGGAAGCCATTCCCTGTGTCCTGTCCCTCCATCCCTTGTCCCCAGTCCCTCTCCAGCTCTCCTGGAGCCCCTTTAGGCCCTGGGAGGGGCTCTAAGGTGTCCCTGGAACTTCTTTTCTCCAGGTGAAGCCCCCCAGCTCTCCCAGCCTGGCTCCAGAGCAGAGGGGCTCTTAGTGATCCAAGTGGGATTGTAGAGATCTTCCCAGGAGAGTGGACAGACACAAAATAGCTCCTGTTTGCACTGATTCCCTGCAGAACTGGGAGGGTTTGGGTTGTGGACCCTCATCCCAACCACTGTTTTCTTGCCTGTTGTTCCACACCACTTCCCTTCCCACCATTCCCTAAAAAACATTGTTCCTGTAAGTGTTTTGAGCACTCCTGTAGCCCAAACACCCAGTGCCAGATTTCCTGCCCACTTATTTTCCATATTCCCAAATCCCAGACACTTGTGGTTGGTGGTCAGAGTTCCTCTGTGGTGGAAACAGCAGCTGAAGAAGAACTACAAAAAACCCTGGGGTCTGCCATTCTGAATTTGGAACCCTGGGATGATGTAGGCAGTTTTGTTCTGCACAGGCCTGAATCCCACAGATGTGATGGGAGTGCCTGACCTGTTGTGTGCGGTGCCTCCGGGCTGCCCCCTCATGGACGGCTCTTTGGGATAAAATCCGGGATTTCAGAGGATCTGCCTGTAACCTGGGGCTCTGGGCTCCTTGGGAATCCCAGCCCTGCTGGGCTGGGTGAGGCGTGACCGAGTTAAATAACACGTTGAGGGAAGGGATCCAAGGCTGAGCAATCCTCGACAAAAACGCTTCTCTTCGCCCGCTCACCACGTGAGGAGAAGGGCTGTGCCCGTGGGCTGGGAGGAGCAGGAACAGGGAGGGCTCTGGGAGCTGCTTTGGGTGGGTTTTGACAGCAAGGAGAGCTGTTGTGCAGTGTAAAACCAGGCACCCCCCAGCCCCGGGGGCTGTGGGGGCAGGGGAGTCCCGGCCACGGGTGGGGCTGTCCTGGGATTGCATTCCCATCTTCCCAGTGCTCCAGTGTTCGCTTCCTGCAGGGCTTGTGTCAGGCCTCAGGTGTGTCAAAGCCTCTCCACATGGTGGGCAGTGGAAGGGGAGAGTTAATCCTGGATGGTCTCTAGCACTAAAGGCTTTTCTGTGACATTTGGGTGTCCTCTACTGGCTTCTCACCCACTTCCTTCTAGTCCGGTACCTTCTCCCTTCTCTGGGATGATTCAGGGTGTGGGAGCCTGGGCTGGGGGAAGGAGAGACCCCAGGAATGACTGATTCCAGCTGTGCTGTTGCTTTCCTGACCAGCAGCACGTGTTTTGTGTCCAAACATTGCCTCACTTGCTGCAGCGTGGAAGTGTCTCCTGACGAGCTGCCCGTGCCTGGCTGGGAGCTGGGTGAGACAGGGAGCCTGTCAGGGATGCTGCCTCCAGGGGAGGATCCCTGGGATTTACACACAGCCAGGAAGCTCTGCAGAGGTGTCTGGAGGCTGCAATAAACACCCTGAGCATCCTCACCCCCAGCCCAACTCTGCTTTAACTCCCTCGTGCGTTGCACCGTTGGCTCTGGAGGGTTTTCCCGGGGTTTGTGGCAGGGGGGCTGACACGGAGGGGTCGAGAGGGAGCACAGCCTTGTGCTAGCTGGGAATTTCTGAGGAAGGAGCTCAGCTGTAGGATGAAAGGAGTTGTCTGTAGGCAGTTCTGGTGCTCGGAGCAGCAGCCTGGTGTGTGGGTGGCTGCGCTCCGCTCCCTCCCGTCCCCGCGGTCCAGGATGCCACCGCTCCTCCCGAGGACCCCTGCTGCTGCCACACCAAGGATGGAGCTGTGGGGAGGTTTCTGTCCTTGCTCTGGTGCCTGGAAGGGGTGGGCTGGCAGGCAGGGGTGGGGGGAGTGCAGGAGGGCAGCGTGTCCCCCCCGCCCGCCCCCATCCCGGCGCTTCCCTGCAGGTGCGGATGGCGCTGAAGAACGCGGAGAAGGAGCTGGAGTCCCACTGCAGCTGGGCTGCCCCCGAGGCCCTGCAGAAGTGGCTCCAGCTGACCCACGAGGTGGAGGTCCAGTACTACAACATCAAGAAGCAGAACGCAGAGAAGCAGCTGCTGGTGGCCAAGGAAGGGGTGAGAGTCGCAGCGTCCTCATCCCCAGTCCACGGGAGGGTTTGGGGAGTGGGATCTGCACGGTTTGGGTTCTTCTGCACCTTCTTTGTTTCATGGAATCACAGAATCCCACAATGGATTGGCTTGGGAGGGACCTTAGAGCTCATCCAGTGCCACCCCCTGCCCTGGGCAGGGACACCTTCCACCAGCCCAGGGTGCTCCAAGCCCCGTCCAACCTGGCCTGGGACACTTCCAGGGATCCAGGGGCAGCCACAGCTTCTCTGCCCAACCTGTGCCAGGGCCTGCCCACCCTCCCAGCCAGCAATTCCTTCCCAATATCCCATCTGACCCTGCCCTCCTTCAGGTCAAAGGCAGTTTCTTTTTTCATACCCTGAATTGGCATTTTTTAAAATGCAGCCCAAACCTTCACTGAGGTGTGATGGGGCTGAGGATGAAGAGGAGGATGACGATGAGCCACAGGCTCTTGGGTGGGCAGGGCCTTACTGGGTGTCACTGGAGCCTTGGGAAGGTGTGAGACAGGGATTGGTGCCCTGGGCAGTCAGTGAGCAGGAGGCTTTGCTCCTCTTCAGCTCAACCCCTGCTCCAGGTGCTGGATGTGCACAGGCAGTGAAATCCTGAGCCTGCCATTCATGGGGTGAATCACTGCTGCATCCCCAGTCCCTGGGTTCTGTGTGCCAGCCCCCAGGGATGAGCTCAGGGAGGCTGTTGTAACAAGTCCTTGTCTCCATGGCCATACGCAGCCTGCAGGGCTGGGGGGGGAATCTGTCTGCTTTAATCTGCTTTTATTGGGAACATTCTAGCATTTCAACAGGTTTCCTTTGGCTGTGTCACTTCTCACATCTACATCCTTGGCTTCCCTAAGTCCCAAAGCTCCCCCTGGAGCTGGGGACTGAAGAGCTAGGGGTGGAGACTTTAATTTTTAATACAGGGGCACAAAACCAACCTCAAACAAAAATCTTCCCCAAGCCAACACCCCCTGGGCATCAGTGGGGTGTTCTGAGTGGTTACTCATGGGAAAGACAAGCCAAGGCTTTGTGAGGGCCCTTCACTGAGTGAGGTACTGGTTCATGGAGGCATGGGATGGTTTGGGTTTGGAAAGCCCTCAGAGACCTTTAAGTGCACCCATTCCCTCAGCTCTGCCAAGGCCACCACTGCCCCGTGTCTCCAGGTGCCACATCCACAGGGCTGTTAAATTCCTCCAGGGATGGGGACTCCACCCCTGCCCTCAAAGTTCTCTCTCTTCAGTTCTTCTGATTTTTGGGAAGCTGGGAGAAGGGAGCATGAAACCCCCAACTGGTACTTGCTGGTGGTGAATTGCTCACCCCTGTGCCAGAGAATGACATCCCTCAGTACCAGCACCATTCCCGCTGTTCCCACGTGTGCAGGGACTATTCCTGTCCCAGCCCACCCAGGCTGTTCACATCCTGGAGGACACAGCAGGTCATCTTCATCCTGTGACCTCTCTCTGCTGATATTCCAGGCTGAGAAGATCAAGAAGAAGCGGAACACGCTGTTTGGAACGTTCCACGTCGCTCACAGCTCCTCCCTGGACGACGTCGACCACAAAATCTTAACTGCAAAGTGAGTGTCTGGTAACCCCTCCCTCGGCCCTGCCTCCCTCCTCCATCCCTCCCGAGCCATGGGCTGGACTGCCCTGTCACCTGGGCACGGGCTTTGGGCTCGGACTTGCTCCTTTTCATCAGTAACCTTTTCATTTTACCTGTGATCAAACCAGGGATCACAGTCATATGGAGCAGTTAAAAGTCCTATCAAAGTGAGGTTTCGGGAGGCTGCAGGATGTTTAATCATGGAATGGGTTGGGGGGATTTTAAGGATTATCTCATTCCACCCCTTGCCATGGGCAGGGACACCTTCCACCAGCCCAGGGTGCTCCAAGCCCCGTCCAACCTGGCCTGGGACACTTCCAGGGATCCTGGGACAGCCACAGCTTCTCCTTGCCAGCCTCACAGGGGAGAATTTCTTCCCAATCTCCCATCTGACCCTGCCCTCTGGCAGTGGGAAGCCATCCCCCCTTGCCATTATCCCTGGATATTTCAGCTGTCACTGCATTTTTTAATTCCCTCATTCCTGGAAGTGGAATGAAAAGCGTCTCAAGATTTAGACACAAAGCTGGACCCCAGGGCTCTTTATCTGGGATGGTTTGAGGGGTGTCTCCCCTCGTTCCCCACACTGCCCTGTCTGTCCCTGGCTGCACTCTCTGCTCTGGGTGTTTGGGGTGTCTCCCCTCGTTCCCCACACTGCCCTGTCTGTCCCTGGCTGCTCTCTCTGCTCTGGGTGTTGGGGTGTCCCCCTCACTGCGGTTCCCCTCCTGCAGGCAGGCGCTGAGCGAGGTGACGGCGGCGCTGCGGGAGCGGCTGCACCGCTGGCAGCAGATCGAGCTGCTCTGCGGCTTCCAGATCGTCAACAACCCCGGGCTGCACAGCCTGGCCTCGGCCCTCAACATCGACCCCGGCTGGGTGGGCACCCCCCGGCCCAACCCCTCCCACTTCATCATGACCGACGACGTGGATGACCTGGACGAGGAGATCGTGTCCCCCATGTCCATCCAATGTACGTGGGCCGGGCTGCTGGGGGGCCCTCTGGGCTGGGGCTGTGTCTGGGGGGGTCCCTGTGAGCTGGGGCTGTGTCTGGGGGGTCCCTGTGAGCTGGGGCTGTGTCTGGGGGGTCCCTGTGAGCTGGGGAGCTGTATCTGCTGGGGGCTGTGACACGGGGCAGACCTGGCTCTGCAGTTCACACCCATGAGGAGCTATTAGTTGATTCCAGCTGGGTTTTAAATGCCCAAAGACCAAAGTTGGTTATTCAGGGTCAGGAAGGGTCTGTTCAGGCCAGGCCCCAGGGTTTTTTTTGAGCCTCTTAATTCTAGCAGAACTGGTAATTTATAGATTACTGAACTGGTAATGTAGAGATTATTAATCATCGTTCCATCCTCTCTCTGCTGTTTTGGTCAACTCACTGAATTTAAGCATGTACCAGAAAAACCCACCCAAAGGCTTGGGCTGACAGGGCAGTGTGATAGGAAAAGGGATTGTCCCCATGTCCCCTTGGCCTGAGCATTTTTAGGGATTTAGAGGACTCAGGGCCAACCCCTCCTCAGGCACAGCTGGACCTGCACCCCACATCCTGCCACCCTCAAGGACCTGCTAAACACTTCCTGGAGCAGAGGCTGAACCCCCAGTTCCCACCCTCTTGTGGTCGTCAAGGGGGACATCCTGTCCCTCTTTGTCACTTCCATGGAATGATGGAATCACTGAAGGTTTGGGTTGGGAAGCCCATCCAGCCCCAGCCCCTTCCATGGGCAGGGACACCTTCCCATCCAAACCTGGCCTTAGACAGGGATGGGGCAGCCACAGCCTCTGTGGGCACCCCGGGAGGATTTAATCCAAGCCAGGGCTCTTTAGGGGAGTAGAAGGTGGAGGGAGGAGCAGAAGTCTCAGGGTTGGCACCGTGTGTGCCATGGCCACGTGCCCCTCTGGGTTGGTGCTGGGAAGGTCTGGAGAAGGTCTGGAGGCAGGTGCTGAGGTGGAACCCAGGGCAGGGGAGGGGAAGGCAGAGCAGGGGGAATTTGGGTTGGGCAGGAGGATCTGGATGAGGGCAGGAGGACCAGGGTTACCTGTGTGTCTCTGGGGCTCAGCAGATGTGGGGGTTGGAGCTGGGGGTTTGTGGGATCAGGTGTCCTGGGGGACATAAAAGCCTCAGGGAATGGTGAGCTCCTGGTGTGTGGTGTCACCAGTCCCCATGAGAATCCGAGCTGGACAGCTCTGACAGAGCCCTGGCACAGGCCTGAGCTGGGCACTGATGGCAGGGATGTTTGGGAACCGTCACAAGGGACACCTGAGCTGTTTCTGAGGGCGTGAGCTCCACGAGCTGGGCCAGGCTGAGCCTTCAGCCCCCATTTCAGCCTCAGCTTCCCCACACTCCAGACTCCTCAAGACTTTTCCAGGGAGCACTTCCATCATCCCAGAGCTGGGCAGTGACCCTGCCCACCTCCCTTTCCACCTCCCTGCCCATCTACCTGCCCACTGTCTTGCCCACCTCCCTGCAGGTGATACCAAGCACTGGGCACCCAAATTCCCAAGCAAGAGAACCTGTCCCTGTAGGACTGTCCTTTCTCTGTGTACAAGCCCTGCTTCAGGAGAGTTCCCCCTGCCCAGACGTGTTGCTGACCCCCCCGTGGTGCCTGTCCCAGTAAATCCCATGTCTCTCTCTCCTGTTCCCCCCTGGCTGCCCCCCCAGACGCAGCCTGGCTTTTCGGGCGCCGGTTCAGCGACCGCTCCTCGCTGTCCTCGGAGGATCAGTCCCTCTGGAAATACCCTGGTTTGGTTCTCTTCAGTTTTATTCTCATTATTTCATCTGCCCTCTGGCCTTTTTCTGGACTAAAATACATCCACCAGTTTTCCACCTTTCTGGCACGGGGCACTAACGAATTGACCTCTCCTCACCGAGCCATCGGCACCTGCACTAACCCCGGGAGGAGTCTGGTGGGATGAAGAAGAATCCCAGCTGCAGCTCTCACGTGCCCTGGGTACAGTCAGGGATTCTGGAGGGTTGAGTTCACTGGGTTCTACCCCTGAGGTGGAGATGGAGGATCCAGGTGAGGCCAGGAGGAGGTGACAGCGTTCCCTTTCCCATCCCACCTCCTTCCCGGCTGCCAGCAGGGCTCCCCCGTCCCTCTGTGCCATGTTCCCTTGGAATCCTTCAGTGAATCTTAGGGCACCCAGTGCCCTGATGCCAGGGGGATGGCACACAGCCTGCTGGGCTGGAGCCTTCCCTTTGAGATGGAGCAGGAGGGCGTGCTCCAGCCCCAGCCAGGGCATGCCTCGAGGGGGTCTCCATGGAATGCTGGGTGGGGTATGTGGGGAATGGTGGCAAAATGTGTGTCTGGAGGGGAACGGTGGCTTTGGGAAGCGAGGTCCCACCCTGTGCTCCAGAGCTCATCCCGGGATAAGTGATGGAAAAGGAGGGTGCAAAGGGGGAAGGTGTCGAGTCAGTAAATGGGGAGTGGAACACCAGGAAAAAAAACAGGGAATCCTCAGGGAAAAAAGCGTGGCCCCAGGGAAGGAGGAACACGTCACCCCAGCTAGTTACTCTGCAGTGGAATCCCTGTGAGCCCCCACACTGAGGTTCCCAAACTGGAGCTGCAGCTCTGGAGCTGAAGGGGAAATGTCTTGAAGTAGCAAGAGGACGGTGTAAAAGTGTGCAGGGACAGGTTGGTGGCTGCAGGGCAGGATCCAAGCAGCAGCAAACCTGAGCAGTGGGAGAGACTGGGATTCACCCTGGGCATGTGGAAGCAGCCAAGTTACCAGAATTATTCCCTCTTATTCCTTCTTCCACTTGATGTATGTCCCTGTGGATCCTTCAGAAGGAGTTGCTCTGTCAGAGGAGCCCCATGTGTCCCAGTTGGGAGTTTTCAGAGCAGGGATTGCTGGTTCTTCATTCCCAAAGGAGCTCTCCTTCTCTTCTTCCTCCATTTCTGAGCTTTTCTTCTCTGCACCTTTTTAACCCATTTGTACATTTATTTCTTACGCTCATGAGAAATCCTGGACAATCCTGAACACCTTATCTCCTGCAAAAGGAGGAACATCTTGTGTGGATGACAGCCAGAGGATGGAACACAGCCAGCCTGGTTGGCTCAGGGTGGGGGTGCAGCCCTGGGATCTCCAGTTTTCCATGAAATGCTCAGCCTGGTGGAGGGGATGGTGCCCAAGGCTCCAGGCAGGGAAGGGGCCTCCCTTGGCTCTGGGTCCAGGGGCACAGGGAGTGCAGGGGCTGAGGAACTGTGGTCAGGGAACAGGCTGGGAGCAGGTGAGGCCACGCTGGGCCCAGAGCCACCACTTCGTGGAGGAATTAGGCATAAATTCCAGAAGGTTTGGGTTGGGAGGGACCTCGAAGCCCACCCAGTCCCACCCCCTGCCATGGGCAGGGACACCTTCCACCAGCCCAGGGTGCTCCAAGCCCCGTCCAACCTGGCCTTGGACACTTCCAGGGATCCAGGGGCAGCCACAGCTTCTCTGCCCAACCTGTGCCAGGGCCTGCCCACCCTCACAGACAATTCCTTCCCAACTCTTCTATGATTCCATGATTCCAGTGCTTTGCTCTGGCACTCCACTGGCACGATGATGCTGGAATTGGGAGCAGAGCTGAGCTCTGGGAGTGGAGCTCAGCCTGACACAGCTTTGGGTGCCAACACTGACCTGCTCAGCCGAGGCTCCTGTTTTGGGCTGTGTAGGTCCCACCTGAGCCTTGTGGTGTCCACGAGGGTGGGACGGCTCATGCCCTGCCAGTGCCCAGTTCTTGGCTCCCTGGGAGCCGGGTGGGATCGACTGGGTGGGATGAACCCCACAGCCGGGTTCTGCTTCGAGCAAGATGCTCAGATAAGGTGTTCAGAGGCACCTCATGGGGGATGTCGGAGTTCTCCAGGGGCTGGGCATTAATCCGGCATGCTCAGCACCGGCTTGAAGCTGCTTCTGCATTAAACGGGCGTAACCCCTGGCTCGCGGTGGGGCGGCACCGGTGCCGTGGGTGGCGGCTCTGGCACGGGGTTCCTGGTGGGTGGCAGCTCTGGCACGGAGTTCCTGGCCTGCAGGACGTGCCCTCAGCCTGTCCTTTGTGTCCCCGCAGCTCCTGCCCTGCCCAGCACGGTCCGGCAGCGCCTGGTGGACGCCCAGCACGGCCACGGATCGCAGAGGTTGGTAGAGGGTTCCGCGGCCGGGCAGCCTGAGCCGGGCCCCGCGGCGCCGTTCCGGGCGGGCCGAGTGTCCCTGCGCCGAATGCACAGCCTCTCCTCCGGACAGTCCTTCAGCTCTGACCTGCCCGGCGCCGGCACATCGCCTGCCTCCACCTCCTCCACCTCCTGCTCCTCATCTACCACCACCGTGCCTGCTCCTGCTTGCCATGTCCACCCTGTCTATTACCATCACACCACCTCTTATTTCCTCCAGATGGACTCCACCCCCGACCTGCCCCCTCCTGATGTCACCTCTGGAGTTCGCTGTCGCACTGGGAGCTTTGGGTATATCGCTGTTTCTTTTCTAGCTGCCTCTTGCCTGCTGGGCCTCGGAGCTGCCGCTTGCCCGGGTGCTCTTTCTGCCGCATTCCTCCCTCCGCCCTTGCCTTCTGGGCCTTTATTCCATGGTTTATCCGCCTGTTTGTTCCTCCCACCGCTCTCCCGAGCCGCTGGAGCCTCTAAGGAGCGTTCCACGGGCCATCCCCGCACGCAGGAGCTCAGTGGGGGCGTTCCCAAGGCACTGTGTTCCGCTGTAGCTGAGCAAATGAGAACTCCCGGGCGCTGGGTTATCCCAAAACAAGTCAGGTTCCACCTCTGAGGAGGCACCACAGCTGACCATCAAACCCTGGCCTGGTTTGAAGTCTGCACTTATTTGGGGTCTTCACAAGCAAATTGCAAAGGGAACCCGGCAGGGACCGTGAGGTTGTGCTTGTGAAATTTGGGGTGGCTTTAGGAGGTGGTGGAGTGAAGCCAGCAGCTCAGGAACGCATTTCAGAGTGACTCTGGCTTGGCAGGGATGAGGAATGGGTGTGTTTTGGCCAAGGAATGTCTGAGGAGGCAGTTGGAGCTTCTGATGCTGGATCACTGGCTTGGTCCCTTTGAGCTGGCTCTTTAAGGACCTGGAGGATCCCTGGGACTGGTTGTGCTGCACACCCCTGGATCCCTGAGCTCTCCTGGCTCACATGCTGGCGTTGGGGAGGTGCAGGAGCCCTGGCTGGTTGAACTGGGCTGCTCCAACAGCCAGGTCAGGAATGTTCTGGGCCCCAAGCAGAGGATCCCGTTCCTTGGGTGGCTTTGATCTGAGCAGGACCCAGGAGGTGCCCGTCCCATGGGGCCAGGGATGCAGCCAGCTCCAGGTGCTGTGTCCCTGCAGTGCTGGATGCCCCCTGGCTCAGGAGCAGTGGGATGTGTGCCCGTGCTCTCAGGGTGTCCCAGCACTCAGGGCAGGTGGTGGGAGGGCTGTGATGGACTATCAGGGAATCCTGCCCTGTCCTCCTGCCCTCCAGGTGCTGCCTGTGACCCTGGACAGGCCATTCCAATTTCATTCCAGGCTTTCTCCTGGAATGTTAAAAATAGTCTCCTAATCCTCAGTGGGGAGCAGAGTGCTGGGAAAAAGCTGGAATTCTCCTGGTGAAGCAGTGGGTAGGGGAAGTGTCCTTCCACATTATTTATCCATGCAGGACAACATTCCCAGTCAGCACATCTTCATCTCTCCCAGCACACTGTCCCGTTATCCCTTTACCTACAGGTGTTGGGATCTCTCCTGACCTGGTTTGGATGTCCCACCCCTTCCCTGAGTTGTGTCTCAGAGCTGAGGAGCCCCAGACAGACTCTGCAGTCTGGAATATTGAGGGGGAAGTTCCTGCAGCTGCTCCACAATGGAGAATTAATCAGTTAATTCATAAATGTCTGCTTGGGGATGATGAGAAGCAGCGTAGTAAACTCTGGATTCATTCCTGCTGATGGGAGCTCAGTCTAACAGTGGTCCCAGTTAGACTGGTAAAAGCTGGGAATGCTGCTGGTCCCTGTTTCCATCGCCCCCCCTGGCTCTGCAGAAGGGACAGCTCATCCCAGGAGCTTCCCATTATCCATCAGGGCTGATGTGCTGTGTCTAAAAGACATGTTTAAAAATGTTTATTTTCCTCCTGAGGCCCGTAAAACACAGAATTCCTGCCCAGGTGAAAGAGCCTGCAGACCCCTGGGAGTGGCGGAGGGAAATGGGATCCCAGAGAGGGGAAAGGGATGGTGCTGAGAGGTCATTTGGAGGGAATAACTGGGGGCCTCACGGTGGTCCCATCAGCAGCTGGTCACTGCTGGGTGACAGCAGGAATGTCCTCTCCCTGTTCCCATGGCAAAGTCCATCCACTGAGGCAGGATAAGTCATGACAGTCGGAACCTCTCACCTGGGATTTGCTCCAGCTACACAATAGCAGCGACTCCCCCCCACCTCATCCATCCCCGCTCATTCCAGGCAGCGGAAACCAGGAGCTGAGAGCCCAAAGACGTTGTTTTGTCACTGTTAATTGTTTTATCCAACTGCATCATCAGCAGATCCTGCTTTGATGCGTCTCTAAAAACGCCGCCGCAGCTGATGGATCGCTCCTCCTTGATACCCCCAGTGCTGCTGGAGGCCTCTCCAGACATCCCTCCCGGGGAGGCAGGCAGGACAGCTGGGGAGGCTGAGAAAGGCCTTGCAGGGAGTCCCTCCAAGGACCAGAGCACAACCCCAGAAATCCCTGGCTCCCCTGGTAGAAGGAAAGTGCCCCCCTGAGTGCTGGGGCTGCTGGAGCTCCTCGGCCTCTCCCCCAGCCAGTGTCGGGGAGAGCTCCCGGGAGCCCTTCCCCCGGGAAAGGCTGGAGATGGCTGTCTCTGGAGTCCTGCTGGGTTGTCCTGGCTCCCTCACCTCCTCACTCTTTGCTTCTCTTTTGCAATTGGCTTCAGAGGATCCGGCGCAAATAAGGTCAGAGCGGTTCCGGGCCGGAGGCTGCCGCGGGATCCCGGGGATTCCAGGGGGAGAGGGGCTCGAGGGGACCGTGTGTGCACAGAGGTTTCTGCTGCCAGTGCCTGCCTCAGGTGGATAAAGCTCGTGGAGATGGGAGCGTGGGACCAAATCCCCACCGCGGCCCTTCTCCAACCAGGAAGGGAGGCGGCAGCCAAAGCAAAGGGAGGGAGAGAGTCAGGAATCCAGGGAAATGAGTAATTCACAGCTCCTGAAGGGTGGAAGGGAGGAAACTGCTGTTGGGTTTGCACTGAGGCTGCTCAGGAGCTCAGCCCTACAGCAAATTTGGGAATTTGCCTTAGGAGAAGGTTTTGTGCCCTGGTGCCACGTGCTGGGCACGGGATGAGGAGCCCGGAGCGGGACACGCTCTGAGTGCCGGGCAGGGAGGGGTGAGGAGCGAGGGCTGGGGGAACAGATCCTGCCCAGGGCAGCTCCTGGGCTCCCCTCAGCCCTGTGCTGGGATGTGCCCGAGCGGGACCCCTGGAGAAATCCCCCTTGGGCTGCGGGGCTGGGGAAAACCAGGGGTTTGTTCCAGATCCTCTTCCTGCCCCTTCCCTGCTCCCCCTCTGCTCCCAGGCTTCCTGTACTCCAGGCTTTCCTCCCTCCATGCTTTGCTCTCCGCTTCGTTTGCCCGGTCAGTCCATGCCATCTTCTCACCCTGCCTCATTCACAGCGCTCCGGCGGGATCAGTGGGAGTGGTGGGATCGTGGAGCAGGGTAGGAGGCGCGGGTGGAAGCGGATCTGGCCTGCCCTCAGGCAGGTGAGTGCTGTCGGGGTCGGGCTGTGTAGGCTGTGGCTGTGCCTGGATCCAGGGAGGAGAGCAGTGAGCACTGCTGGGATGGAGGAAGGCTGAGGCTCCGGGTGTTTTCCAGGAGGGATGAGCCATCAGTGGCTCCTGTTGCTCCACAGAAGTGCTTCCTCTGAAGGGCCCTTTCCTGGCATCACATCAAGGTCTGGCTGTGTCCTGGGACAGCTTTTCCTCTTCACGAGGTGCCCTACTGGTTCAGGAGCATAATCCTTACGGGAATCAGTGGGATACAGGCCAGGCCTTGGCTGGGCCTCACCCAAGATGATGGAAATATCCTGGCAATGCTCCTTGCTCCCTCTTGTCCCAGCACTGGGCCTGGGAGTGTCCCCTCCTCCTGCTGTCCCTGACACAGCCAGCGTGATCCCAGGGATCCTGCCCTCGTGGATGCAGAGTGCACTTCCTTTTGGGAGCCACCAGGAAAAGGGTCATTTGAGGCCGTAGAGAATCCCAGGAGAAGTTCCCAGCTGGTGTTCAGCTCCCAGAATCAGCCCGTGGTGCCACAGCTGCTCCCTGTGTGTGTGCCGGGTGTCCTGCTCTGTCAGGAGCTCCTGGGACTGTCCCTGGCACGGTGGGTCTGTGCCATGTGCCCTGACACAGCAGGGTGGGCTCTGCTGCCCACCAGGGATGTGCTGGTGTGTGCTGGGCTCAGCAGTCACTGGATTTCCCTCTATCCCTCGGGAATACATTCCTGAGTTCCAGCTGGATAGGTTGGGAATGAAACGGGTTAGCTCAGACCGTTGTGATATTTGGGAATTGTGTCCTCCTGGGCTGATTCCCCATCAGCTCCTTCAGTCCCCCTCGGATGATGAGCCCAGACACAAACTGGGGGTCCAGCGAGGTGGGACCTGGCATCTGCTCCAGGGAAGGGATCCCAGGAACAGCAGCGACAGCCACTCCAGGAATGGGGACATGGACCCCCCCCCAGGTGTCCAGGGACCCTCAGCTGCCGGGAGAGCCATCCTGGGAGGTGACACAGCGGCCGTGGTGCCACCAAGGACCTGCTCCTGCTGTTCCTCCTGCGCCTCCCACAGACCAGCTGTCCAGGGATCAGGTTCCCAGTGTCTGCTCCCAGGGAAGCAATTCCTCCTGGAGCAGAGCACGCTCTCCAGCTGCTGGTGTCATTTGCTGCACACGCTGCCAGCGCCATGGCATTGCTTTGGTCCCTTCTGGATTGGAAACTGCAGGACTTGTGGGACACAGGGAGAGACTCCGGAGCTCAGCAGGCAAAACTCGCCCTCTTCACACATCCCTGTTGCTGGACCTGCAATCCCTGGCCAGGACACGCTGTGACCCCTCAGGGCTCTCCCACCTCCTTGATGATGATCCTGCCTGGAGATGATCCTGCCTTTCCCTGCTCCTGGCTCCAGCTGACCCCATTCCCAGGCCCAGGTTCTGTCCCACAGCCTCTCTTCACTCCTCCTGACCGTGCTGGGACCCAGCGCTGGCCTGGCTCGAGCTGGGCCAACCCCTGCAGCCAGACTGCCTTGTTTTCCTAGAAAGGGGACACTTTCCAGGCATTTATGGAGAAAAGAATCCTCTGAAAGGGGGTGTTCAGCCCTGGCAGCGTCTCACCAATGGCTCAGCACGTGCACAGGATGGCTCCCACCCCCCTTCCCTGGGGGAGGGAACAGGGAGTGTCCAGACAGAAGTTCCCAGCACGAGTTCCCCCTTTGCAGGTGTGTTAAGCTCCAATCCGAGCCAGAAACACTGGGGAAGAGCAGGAGACTCCTGGATTCCGCAGAGGGAAGGAGCTGAAGGGTCTGGTCACAGTTGGGTTCTGTCTGCAGGCACTGGCAGCATCCCATTGTCTCCCAGCCCCGGTGTGTGGATCCCATCTGCATCCAAGTTCTGGGATTGGCCCAAACACCCCCATGTTCAGCCCCATCAGGTTCCATGGCTGCTGCTGTTCCCATGGCCCAGTTGTCCCAGTGATCCCAGAGAAAGCTGTGGGCCACCAGCCGTGACAGTGACCTTCCGTGGGACCCACCGGTGGCCTTGGGAGCTCCGTGGCTCCACACGTGGGATGCATGGCAGGTGTCTGCCTTGGACAGGCCCCAGCTGCTCCCTCAGAATAGCCAGGGACTTCACACCGCCCGGATTGTTCCGTTCTCCCGCTGCCACCGAGCCGGGAATGCGGCTCCGGCGCTCAGACATCGGCCGGGATCGCTCCATGTGCAGAGGACAAGGACAGCCCCAGCAGTGCCAGGGGCTTGGTGCTTCTGGGGAACACAAGAGATGAGTTCTCCACAGCTGGGCTCCTGCAGTGGGTCCAGGGCTGTATCCCAGCCGTCCACAGGGGTTCAGGATACCCTCGTGTACTCCTGTGGAGAATGAGAGCCCGACTTGATTCCGTGGGTTTTGTTAAAATACCCTTATTCCAGGACAAGTAGAACCTTTTCCTGGCTGTCCAACCCCCCAGTGCTGGGACAGCTGGGGCTCCAGGCTCTGTGTGCCACCACTCTGTGGACACTGGGGACAAGTGGCTTCCTCAGGATCGGGACTGGGACTGTGGAACGGCTCCATGGGCGACACGGACACGGATCGAGGGACCCCCAGCACCTTTGCTGATGTGGGGCTGGGGGTGCAGTCACAGGAGGGAAGGGATGGGGCATCCAGAGGGACCTGCACAGGCTGGAAAGGCAGGACTGTGCCAACCTCCTGGAGGTCAACGAGGCCAATGCAAAGTGGCACCTGGGTCAGGGCAATCCCAGCACGAACACAGGCTGGGGAGAATGGATTGGGAGCAGCACTGGGGAGAAGGAGCTGGGGGTGTGGGGACTGTGCCCCTCTGCCCCTCAGGAGAGACCCCCCTGCAGAGCTGCTCCAGCCCTGGGGAACAGCACAGGGAGGACAAGGAGCCAGTCCAGAGGACACCATGGAGCTGCTCTGAGAGCTGGAGCCCCTCTACTCTGGGACCAGGCTGGGAGAGCTGGGGGGGGTTCACCTGGAGAAGAGAAGGATCCAGGGAGACCTCAGAGACCCTGAAGTGGCTCCAGGAGAGCTGGAGAGGGACTGGGGACAAGGGATGGAGGGACAGGACACAGGGAATGGCTTCCCACTGCCAGAGGGCAGGGACAGATGGGAGATTGGGAAGGAATTGCTGGCTGGGACGGTGGGGAGGGGCTGGGATAGAATTCCCAGAGAAGCTGTGGCTGCCCCTGGATCCCTGGAAGTGTCCCAGGCCAGGCTGGACGGGGCTTGGAGCAGCCTGTGCTGGTGGAAGGTGTTCCTGCCCATGGCAGGGGTGGCACTGGATGTCTCCAGAGGTGCCAGCTCTGGGTTGAGGGTGTTTTCTCTTGCTGTTATTCATGGTGGTACTGTAGGAGAAGGTCTGGGGGCTCCTCGTGCTGTGTGGGCAGGTTTGGTGACCCCTGTCCAGGGGTCTGTGCTGGGAGTGCAGGGGCCACGGGGGCCCAGGAACTGGGCAGCTCCATCTCTTCTCACCCTCTTCTGCTTCTCTGTCCTCTGCTGTTTTCCTCTCCATTTCCATCCCATTCCACACCTCTCTCCTGTGTTTGGGGTCCCCTCGTCCCCCCCTCCCCGTGCCAGAGGTGTCCTGCAGTGCCCGCTGTTGCCATGGGGCGGTGGATCTCGGCCCGGCGGCTGTGCAGGGACCCCGGGGTGTGGGGGCAGCACCCCCGGCCCCCCCGGCGGGAAGGAGTGAGCTGTGATTTGCCATTTCCCCTCCCTCCCACTCTCCACAAAGGCTCCGGGAGCCCCTGGGGCTCCGTTCGCCACCCCCGGCAGGCACCAGGCTGGGCACAAACCACTGTGGGGGCACGCGCTGGGCATGGCTTCGTGTGGGGACGCCCAAGCTCTAATTCCTCCCGCCGGGATTAGAGGTTGGCGCGGGCTGAGCCCGGAGCGGGGCAGGCTCGGGGGTGCTCTGTGTGCGGGGAGGGGGGGTGGGCGCACACACGGGTGACGGCGAGGGCTGAGGGACCCTCCGGGGCAGCTCCCCCCAGTTCTGCAGCTCCAGGACGAGCTTGGAGCCCTCCCAGCTCCCACTGGGATCCACGGGGAGGGAGCGGGCTCCGTTCTGCCCCCGTGTACTCACGTCCCCCGTGTGCTCGGGGGGTGCTCGCAGTGAGCCCCGGTGATCCCCGCGCTTGGGGCCGTCACTTTGCCCCGTGTGCTGGGAGTTGGCACCGGGCAGGATGAGCCCCCTGTCCCTCTCTGTGCCCCCGTCCCAGGGGTGCCCCCGTCCTGGGGGTGCCCCTGCACTCGTACAGAGGAGCAGAACGGCGGGTGAGGCGGCGGGAGCGAGGTGGGCGCCTGTCCCAGTGCCCCTCCCCGGGGGTCGCTGCAGTCCTGGAGGGGTCCCTGTGTCCCCTCAGCCGCCACATCCGTGTGTGTGTGTGTGTGCGGGCTCGGGAACAGCCCGGCCCCGGGGGGCACTAACGCGGTCTGTCCTCCCCTCCCACCGCAGAGACTTGACTCGCTCCGACTCCGACTCCTCCATCCCGCACCTGAGCGACCACCAGCGTATTCCCAGCTCAGCTCCCAAGCTGCTGGCTGCCCGGCCCACGCTGCTGACGCGCTCCATGGAGGAGGCTGTCCCCGGCCACCCGGCCCCCGGCGCGCCCACCCCCAACGGCGGCAGCCGGCTCGTGGAGGCCCCCGGGCTGGGGCCTTTGCCGGAGCGGCTGCCCGAGAGCCCCATGGCGATGAAGAAGATGATGATGGTGAACCACGGCATGGAGAAGTCCTCCAGCCTGGGGGAGATCAGCCACCCGACGGCCGGCAAGCCCAGCCACTCGGATTCGTCGCGGTCGCACAGCCCCAGCTCCCCCGACCCCGACACCCCCTCCCCCATCTCTGACTGCCGGCCCCCCGGCGCCAAGAGCACCCGCATCCCGCAGCTGGCCGCCAAGAAGAGCCCGGGGGACGAGGACAGCAGCCTCACGGGCGACGAGGTTGACCCCGGCCAGAGCAAGAAAAAGTTCCCCCTAAAGATCTTCAAGAAGCCCAAGAAGTAGCGGGGGGGGGGAGCCCCCAGGAGCGCGTCCCGCCGGGCCCGGGGCCGGATTGCACCGGGAACGCAGCGCGGCCCCGGCACCCGCTGCCCTCCCTCCGCACCCGAGTCACCCACCCAGCGCCGGCACGGGGGGAGCTATTTAAACTTATTTATTTCCTGATCTCCGAGAAGAAAAACCGCGCCGCCGCCGGCTCCCCCGGGAGAACAGCCGTCCTTGCCCTCCCTCCCTGCCCTCCGACCGCTGCGGTCCCGGCTTTGCTGTGCATGGCTTCCAGTTA